GATAACACTGTTGGGAGCAGAATACAGGAACGGCCCCTGAGACTGTGTGAACAGATAGAAAATGGGAGCTAAGACTAAAACATTACTGGTAAAATATTATAGTGGTGGCAGGAAACACTTCCTTCAAATACTTACTTTCAAAAACATTTCACTTCTCAAAGTTTTAAAAAGCCAATTGTTCAATGTTTTCCAGATCATTGCTTTTTTAAAAAATTTAATTAACATACAGTAAAATAGAGTTTTTCATGGTGATAATTCTATGAATTGTAACACCTGTGTAGATTTAACCACCACCACAATCAGGATGTGGAAACTTACATCTTCCTGCAAAACTTCTTTGTGCTACCCTTTTGTACCCACACCTGTCCTCTTGGCAACTGCTGGTCTGTTTTCTGTCACTTTAGTTTTGTCTTTTCAACATATAATTTGTATTCCCATTGTCATATAATTTTGTATTCCCATCAGCAATATATGAGTGATCCAGTTTTCCATTTCCTCACCAGAACTTGGTATTGTCAATATTTTTTATGTTAGCCATTTGGATAGGTGTATGGTGGTATGTCATCATCATTTTAATGTGTGTTTTTCTAGTGACTAGTGATGTTGAACATCTTCTATTTGCCACCCATATCTCTCCTCTGGATAAGTCTCTGTTCAACTTTTTGCCTATTGTTAAATTGGGATATTTCCTTACTGTTGAATTTTGATAATTTTTTTATACATTCTGGATATGTAGAGACTCTCCTCACTTCTTATTTCCAATATCCCCTAGGGATATCCAACTTTCAAAATGCAGACTTCTAAATTTTCATAAGTCCTTTGTAGGATATGTAATTTGCAAATATTTTCTCAATTCTTCTATTTTCTTAACAGTACCCTTCATAGAGCAAAAGTGTCAAATTCTGGTGAAGTCTCAGGATCTGTCTTGAATATGCTATGTGGATGCTGGTGGATGATTCAAACTCCCAATCTCAAGCTCCCCCTCGTTTCATACCTATGTAGTATCTGGTCTCCACACCCAATTCTCAGGACAGCCCCTTCACTCTCCTGCTCACAAAAGTCAAATTCTATTGTTAATTACATAATGCAAATAAATATTTACTTTTAAAATTAATTCAGCATTAGGTATGCTTATTATATATTTAAGCATATATATGTTTACCCTTTTCTGAGTCATATACCTTAGGAAAGTAGACACTTGGTCTTCTATTCTTGCCTGAACAACACCTGGAATATCAGAAGATGATAGAGTATCATCACTGGAAGGACTTAGAACCCTGGTGATAAACACGTGGCCTGTGGATCAGCAGCATCAGCATTGCCTGGGGCCCAGTAGAAAGTCAAACTCTCTGACCCTACCCCAGGCTGAAGAGTTAGAATTTGCATTTTAATGAGATCCCCAGGTGCACATTAAAGTTTCTGAAGCACAGCTTAACAGCTCATCTGGTTCTCACTCTTACTTTCCAAAGATACTGAAGTCTAGAGAGAACAAGGCTGGCCTTCCAGGCCAGCGGCAGGTAGGGCTACAACCAGGGTGAGAACCCAGCCCTCTTTCTCCATGGCCATTGTGTTCTGCACAGCCACCTGCCTCCAGCATTTTGGATGACTGTACATCTCAGCCTGTATGGGAAGCATCAACATTTATCTTAATGTGGTCTTTCTCCAAAAAGACTTCCTTCAATTCTTATTTCCAATATCCCCAGGGATATGCAACTTTCAAAATGCAGACTTCTAAATTTTTATAATGAAATAAACTAAACACTCTTTGGGGGAATAAAGTGATTTTTTCCCCTTGCATTTGTTTACTTCTCTGCAAGCTCCTGAGATGGCTAACACACTGGTTGTTAATCACACCATCTGTTCAAACAGCACTTCTAAATCATTCGATTCATACTTTTCTTTTTAAGGAATTTTTTTTTTCTTTTTTCTGAACAATATGTTTGTGCCTGTGTTACTCCCATCATTTGGCAATGCAGTTTGAGCTATTTAAACTTTCCTATTTATTGCAAATGGCTTTTCAATCAGCAAATATTTTTTAAATGTGCACACACCACCAAAAGCTGTGTCTACTAACGTTTCAAACATTGAAAACAGTAGAAAAATCTGTTCCAGTCTGTCTGCTGTCAAATTTTTAACCATCTGATTATATTTCAATGAAGTGTTTAGGAAGATGATTTATCTGGCTGACCCTGGGAAATTTTCCTCATTGGCCCTGAAGATGGCAGTGCTGTGCAATTCAGTACAACTTCCTACTTTTTTTTTTTTTTTTTTCTCCCCTCCTCTAAAAGGAATTTCTGGAATGGCAGAAAGTGGGGGAGGATTCACTAAATCTGAACCTTCTAACACTTAGCATAAACCTCTTCTGAACTCTGGGACAATTTGGTTTATCTTTTGGTTCCTTTTTGTTGTTGTTGTTTAAAGCTGTATCCAATGCGTTTCCTGTTTCCAGTCCAGATTAGAAATGGAAATAGTTTAAAGGTTATTCTCATATCATGGGTAACCAGGAAGTGCCTATACAGCTTACTGAGAAGCTGATTTTCACAAGACTGCTTAGTTTTAAAAACAAACAAAAAATCTAACAAAGGCTCAATCCAAGATAAGCAGGAGCTAAGAATACTGGCAATTCTGAATTCCTACTGGGACCACATCTCTGGAAGCCCATCTCTCCTGGTTTCCTTTTCTTAACCACGGAGGCCTGCTGCCTGCTGACATTCTTTACATTTCATTAGCGGGGTCTGGAGAAGTGGGTTTAGAGGGACACATGCTCAGGCTTCAGGCAGGAGAGACCAGAAGGCAATTTCTTGGTCCTGTCATTGTTAGGGTATGGACATGGAAACAGAGTTGGGGACAGGAGTGTGTAGATTCACCCAACTTGTTTTTGGGATTCTCAAAGTTCAGTGATAATTCAGCTAGCCAGAAAACATTTATTAAAAACAATTAGGGGTGAGGCCTTATATTAAGTGTTGTTATAAATAATAATAACCAGCAATGTTACGTGTCATAAGCCAATTCCCTTGCTAAATATTTTAGCAACATCTCATTTAATCTTCACCCACAACTGTGTGAGGTAGGTAATATACTTTTTTAAAAATTTAACATATAAACTGAGGGACAGAGGGGATAGGAAATGTGGTTAAGGTCCCATAACTTGTATGTAAAATTGTTAAGTAAAATGTCCTATGCATTACCTAGGGCACCCCTCAAAGTGTGGTCCCTAGACCTGCACCATGAGCATCACTGGGGAACTTGTTAAAAAGGCAAATTCTCCATCTGCACCCTGGACCTGCTGAATCTGAAACTCCAGTGGTGGAGCCTGACCATCTGTGTTTTAACAAGCCCCCCCCAAAAGTGATTCTTATACACATTAATGTATGAAAACCACTGGAGTAGGCAGTTATCTATAGTAACTTGGCAGAAAATGATGGCGCTCTAGTGCCAAAATGCATGCTGTGGAAGGAAATTCCTCACTAGTTGCCAGTTTGAAGGATGGACAAGTAGCACAGCCTTAACGTATGTCCTTGTTTGGGTGAAGGCAGGCTGGTTTAAAACTTGCTTTTACTCTTGTCCTTGAGGTGAAGGGCATCTTCCAGGAGGACCTTTCTCTCACATCACTTCCTACCACCTATTTTCCCAACCCTCCCCCAGGCCTGGGGAATTCTTGGCTTTGAGGGAATGAAGGGATCGGAGATGGAGGTATAAATGAGGACAACTATTAAGAAATCATCTTATTTTCTTCTAAATCTTTCATCTTGGCTTTTGAAAGTCCAAAGCCAGGAAAAGATTCCTTTCTTTTCTACTTTCTGTGATCTTATCCTCTATCAGACAATGAGCTTAGAATAGGTGGAATGGAAGGTGAAGAAAGATAAAAGTGGGAAGAAGAATATACTGTTTAGTGTTTCAAAATTATTGCAACACACTGGAATGCAAACTACTAGGTTTTCATATTCCTCCTCAAAATGCCTTGGGCAGAGATTCAAAACACAAACTAGAGGTAATTCTGAGTTGTTGAAAGTGGTTTGAGAAGCTCCACTTACATCTTCTCAGTGGGAAAAAATCTTTCTTCTATCAAGGATCTAATGTAACTTGTTTCTTCTTAGAAGTTTGCTCTTTTAAGTAAAGCTGAGATCTATTTGGCATTTATTATTTAGAATGCAAATTTCTTCCTAGAGAATACACCTTAGTTTGCCAGATGCTTGCTGGGAATACCCTTCTCTTTCTTTCCATCTGTCCTCTCTAAATCCCTCCTTCAGCATCCATCTTAATTCTAAACTATTCTTTTAAATATTTGCTGATCATTCCAGCAAGTATTGCTCCCTGCCTTTTCTTACCACTCATACCACTTACATGTTCACTTTAGAAAACTTCTTTTATACTGTTTAGAAACTTCTTTTATACTGCCTTACTTTATTTTCTATTTCAAGTCAGATAATTTCATATGTAAACATGTTTTGTCTCCTCTACAATATTATAATCTTTCAGGGATGGGAATCCCTGAAAGATTAAGGAGGAAACGTCTTCCTCTGTATCAATTCATGATTATGTGAATGCTGAGGTTATTATTTTATATTAAGATTGTGTTATACTGTGGATCTGTATTTGGGACTAGGCCATACCCACACCAGGGATGCAGCCACAGCTGAAAAGTAAGGTTAAGCCTAGCGTCTGTCACTAGGGGAAGGAACATATGTATTAGACCAGCACAGATGGTGCAGGAGAGAGAAAGGCAGTGCTGTCCTGGGCTTGACTTTGAGGGAGGGTTGAGATATCTATGGTGTGTAGAGGTGAAGGGGAGATGGGGAGATTGTGGTCTTGAGGTGTATTAAAGCCAGAATCTGTCACATAAAGGTCTCTACTTAAGGTTATTTTTAAATGATGCTCAGAGACTCTTTAGGGTTTCCAGGGAGGCTTCTCAGGGATGTCCTTAAGATAAAGGAAGGTCAGTAGAAAAGTAGAACCTGAAGGAGTTTATCTCTTCACTTACCAGTGCAGCTCCAAGGTTTTCTGTTTGATTTGTTAGGGTTTGTGTAAGACTCTGCTTGAAATAAAGGTTTTTCCTGCTGAAAAACGACTAGGAGGGACAAATGGTTTTCTTTATAATCTGAATTGTTTTGATTTCTGCATTCTCAACATTATTTATTTATTATTTATTTAAGACCGGGTATGTTCTGTTGCCCAGGCTGGAGTACAGTGGCTTAATTTTGGCTCAATGCTGCCTTGACCTCTGAGGCTCAAGTGATCCTCCCACCTCCACTTCCTCTCGAGTAGCTGGAACCTCAGGTGAAGTCACCACTTATGGCTAATTTTGTTTACTTTTTATAGAGAAAGGGTTTCACTATGTTGCTCAGGCTGGTCTCAAACTCCTGTACTCAAGTGATCCTCCTGCCTTGGCCTCCCAAAATGCTGGGATTACAGGCATGAGCTGCTGTACCCAGCAACTCTCAATATTTATTTTTCTTTATTCTTGGAATTTTGAGAAGCTTGGTTGAAAGCATCTCAACTAAGCTATGGGACAAGTTTTTGCCCATACAGAGTTTACTCTCACAGGTGACCATGGGGGTGACAAAGGAAACTAGAGGGAAAAGCCTCCAGGGTGAAGATGACATCGGCAAGAGGGGGAAAAATTCATTCAGGTCACACAGCTCCTTCCCTCTGCGTCTCTCCCTGCCCTGATTTCTTATTCCAGTGCTAAAGAGTTTATTATGAAGATGCTATATATCTATACGTATATACATATATTTCTTTTTCATATATAAATACTTCTTGAATTGAATTAAATTAAGAGTCCTGGTGTTTTAAAGAGATACGAAAGTAGGGGGAAGAATACAAAAAAGAACGGATCATTGAAGATGAACTTTTCTTGTTTACAGAGGGTTGCAAGGAAATACCAAGGTCAGACATGAAAATCTACACCCAACTCTTCCCCTGCTGCCCACCTTCACCGTTCCCCTCCCACCCAAGCTAGATGGAACATTTGGTCTCATTAAGGGTGATATTTTCAAGAATCATAACACAAAATCTGACAGTGCCTTAACAGTGGAGTGCAGTCCACCTTAATGCCAAACTGGGTCCTGGAATTCTGATGTTTGGATTCTTTTCAGGGAGTCAGTGGGTATATGTGATTTCATTTCAGACTCTGATGATTGCTCAGACTGCTTTGAAAAGCAGGCTGTCCTTCTATTTTTTATAATAATGCTTTAGGGAAATCTCTTTTGGCTTTCCTTGGTAAAGAGATTTTAAAAAAGGAAAGACATTTTGCAGCAGTGGCAACAGTGATGATGGTGGCTGAGCAGCCACCTCTGCCCCAGCTGCCGCCATGCTTCATAAAACTATCCCAAATAGGGTGAGTACATTTAACAGAATGATCAATTCGGTGCTGCCATATCACTTCTATTTATAATCTTGGCAGAGCTACAAATTTCAAGGGTTTTTGAAGACAGAAGAACTTGCTACATGAAGTGATTTTAGCTCTGATCTTTTCAGAGTTTGAATTCAAGGGAGTGGGATTTTCCAGCCTCTAATGGAATTGATGTTCCTGAGGAACACAACAAGCCTCCTGCTCACAGGTGATGACTTTAAATACAGGCAAGAAAGAGGCTCACAGGGGCCTTTCTTCTAAGGAATCCTTTTATGATTACAAGAAGTTTATAAGATAGAGGTATATTTCATGTATTTTAAAGTGTTTATCCACAGATAATGTCCTTAAATCACCTAAGGGTTTGTCTCACACATCTTTCTCTGTCTTGCCTCAAATTATTCATTTCCAATACTGGCCTCTGTTAATTAAATGGTATGTCTATGGGGGCATTTCCACTTGAATGATAATTAATGTGTTTTTTCCCAATCCAGCTGCCCATGAACTCTAGTAGATAAATTGTTTTGTGTATAGCACATATTCAAGGCTGGGCTTGGATAATGATGTCCTGCTCAAATTAAAAAAGAAAAAAAGAAAAAGAAAAAGAAAAAGAAACATCATCCAACACATAAGATCTCTTCTTTACCCTTTTACAATCTGGGTATGTTGGAGAGGAGGAAAAATATTCATAAATAAGAGCACCAAAATACCACAGTAACTATGGTGAAAGCTACATTGACCTTTTGGTTGATTTTCATAATCATTTTACATCCTTGCCTGTGTCCCCTAGTGCTTTATAAGCATATGGTTTCTGAGACATGTATAAATTAAGATTAGGTTATTTAAATATTTTTGGTTCCAGACCAGAAATATGCTAAACTTGTGACAAATTTACTTCATAATGCACAGCCTTCTTTTTGATTTTGTGTATACTTCTAATGCTTTTTTAATGAGAGACAGAATGTGTTATAGTAGTTAAAGGCATAGGATCTGACATGAGATCTGCATTCAAACCTTGACTTCACCACTTGGCAACTAGGAGACCTTAGGTGAGTTCTTAACCTCTTTGTACCTGTTTTTTCTCATCTATAAAGTGAGAATAATAATCGTATCTCTCACATAGGGCTATTGTGAGGATTAATACTATTATTTTTATAAAACAAATAGAATAGTGCCTGGAAGATACTACTAACTACATGAACTATTAATCAGTATTCTCAAAGGAAATATTATAACATTTAAGTGGATTTACTGGAAAAATTGCAAAAATGTGTCTTGTTTTATGCCACACTCTCAATGGATTGACAGAAGTCTCAGAAAGTGAAATTTTAGCTCCAGCATACTGTAATTTCAGCAGATGAATAGTGTGGACATCAGATTTGTAGTTTTTATGAATGTGTACCTTGAAAAGAGGAGCTATAACTCTAAATGGCAATACAGGGGAGAATTGCCCATCCCAATAGGTGAGTGTCTAAAGGGGAGCTTCATCCTACCCGAAGGGACAGGAGTGGCCTTGGGGCAAAATTCCCATCAGAGTACCTTCCTTAAATAAACCCTATTATTTTTCAGTTCTGACTTGGCCTCCCCTTACCCAGAGCAAAAAATGATATAAAAATTACATAGCTAGGAAAAATTTTAAAAATATTGGCCTTACAATGCCTACTCTGGATTCAGAATAAGATTAGGGAAAGTGACACTGAAACTGGGTTATTCCACCCGCTGATGCCAAATATGTTTAGAGAACTTTAACCTGGCTTGATCATTGGTAATGGGACCTGAGTCAGGGAGCTTCTAAACCAAAATGTTAGCATTGTTGCATAATAAATATCCAAAAAGGAAACTGAGATCATCACAGGGGAGCTTTAGTGAGAAACAGGTAAACTGGAATTTCTTTTGGAAAGAATTGTCTTCAGAGCTTTAGAAATGCTATTAGTTGGTCATTTTTTTCAATGCTCCCAAATTTGCTTAAAGAAATTAGGAACTCACAGATTGACCTAGTTAAAGTTTATGAAATAATTCTGAGTGCTGAGCCCTGTGTCATGCACCTTATATTTTATTTTGTGAAATCATTTTGTAATCTTAATTAATATTTCCCACTCTAAAGTTGAGGAAGCTGAGGTTCAGACGCAAGGCTGGTATGTAAGTGATGCTGGGATTCAAACCCAGGTTGTCCAATTTAAGTCCATGACCTGTCTTAAGCACTCTATTCCCTTCATGATCTCACAGAAAGTAAAAAATGAGAGTTGATAGGTATCTGTACAGCTTCATCATTAATTCTAAGACCTAAGAAATAATGATGCTGTGAGATTTCCATAGATTTTAGTAATAATGCCAACAATTGGACTAAAATGTCAAACAGCAAACTTTACCACACTGGGAAATCATAGTCTCCTCTCACAATTACTGAGATCAATTTTCTTCTGTTGAAGAAGTGGGCAAATCGCACAGATGAAGATAGTCTTGAATGGAAGTGTTCCAGTAATATTAAGGATCAATAGTAGCACCTGGAGAAATAGCACAGCAAAGCTACTGCCGATGCTGGGCACTGCACTGACCTGATATTTGAAACTGTGAGTTTCACAGTCTGCCTCATAATTAAAGCAATTTATCTTCAGGTGAATCTAGGCCATTTTGTTATTTCCACATGAAATTCTTGGGGAATAGAGGTGCCTATAGAGAATCTCTGTTGTGTAAACACTAATATGGAAAGTAGGTAGTAACTCTTGAAATGCTGTCAACTATATGGCCACTAGAACTTTGTCCACTATCAGAACTAATGCCACTACAACTGACTGGAAAAGACTTAGACACTGTTAGCAAGGTAACTTACCAGAGGGTTGCCACCACTTCGCAGAACATGCAGTGTAGATGAAACAATAGTTATAGAAGTCTTTATCCTGTTCCAAAGGCCAAATTAAAAAACAAACAAGATACAATAGTGACTTCAAAGGCTAAAGAATTCTGAAATTATATGGTATGCCATCTGAAGACAGATTTGCTCCAACCAATTTGATAAATGCTAGCCAGTAGCATGTTGGCTACTGGGCAATTGAAATGCAGCTAGTTCAAATTGAAATGCGCTGCAAGTGTAAAATATATACCAGATGTAAAGACTTAGAATGGAAAAAGAATATAAAATATCTCAATAAAATACCTTGTTAAAAATGTGTTGAAACGATATTTTTGATATATTGGTTTAATTAAAATATATTAATAAATGTATTTGACCTGTTTCTTGTAATTTTTTTTAATGTGACTACTATAAAATTTAAATTGCATATGTAGCTCACATTGTATTTCTTTTTTAAAAAATTTATTATATTTTAAGTTCTGGTATACATGTACAGATCGTGAGGATTGTTACACATGCCATGGTGGTTTGCTGCATCCATCCTCCCTCACCTACATCAGGTATTTCTCCTAATGTTATCCCTCCCAAATCCCCCCACCCCCTGCCATCCCCCCAACCCCCCCAGCCCCCAACAGGCCCCAGTGTGTGATGTTCCCCTCCCTGTGTCCATGTTTCTCATTGTTCAACTCCCAATTTTGAGTGAGAACATGTGGTGTTTGGTTTTCTGTTCTTGTGTCAGTTTGCTGAGAATGATGGTTTCCAGCTTCATCCATGCCCCTGCAAAGGACATGAGCTCATCCTTTTTTATGGCTGCATAGTACTCCATGGTGTATATGTGCTACATTTTCTTTAACCAGTTTATCATTGATGGGCATTTGGGTTGGTTCCAAGTCTTTGCTATTGTAAACAGTGCCTAAATGAACATACGTGTGCATGTGTCTTTATAGAATAATTTATAATCCTTTGAGTATGTACCCAGTAATGGGATTGCTGTGTCAAATCGAATTTCTGTTTCTAGATCCTTGAGGAATTGCCATACTGTCATCCACAACATTTGAACTAAGTTACACTCCCACCAACAGTATAAAAGCATTTGTATTTCTCTACATCCTCTCCAGCAACTGTTTTCTCCAGACTTTTTAATGATCGCCATTCTAACTGGCAGCTCACATTGTATTTCCATCGAGCAATGCCAGTAGGTAATCTATACCAGCAGCCGGTGAGGAATGAAGATAGCTTTGTCCCACATCATGGACAGTGAAGGACTCTTAAGGAATCAGAGGGAATATTTTGGTGGGCTCATCATCTCTATTAGTTTTGAGTTTTTTAAATTTCATTAATTCTGCTATTATCTTTATTACATCTTTTCTTCTACTTTCTTTGCATTTATTCTTTTCATCTCCCAGTCTTCAGTGGAATTCTTAGCTCATTTATTTTTTATTTTTCTTGTTAAGTAAGCTCACTTAAGGCTAAAATATTGCTTTAGTAACATGTGCAAATTTTTAGTATATAGAACACTATTATTGTATATTTTCAGAGTTTTTTGTTTTGTTTTTGAGAGGGGCTTTTGCTATGTTGCCTAGGCTAGGCTCCAGTGATCCTCCCACTTCAGCCTCCTGAGTAGCTGGGTCTACAGGTACATGCCACCACATCTGGCTGTTTTTTTTTTTTTTTTAAATAATTTCCTCATTATGATTCCCTCATTGATTAGCAGGTTATTTTTGTGATATAGATATGTAATATAAATAGCTTTGTGGCCTGGTATGTAGTCATTTTTTTTCAGATAGTTCCACTTAGGCTTGAAAAGAAAGTATGTTTTCTATTTTTCTATTTATTATATATAGGTTTATATGTATAGAATATCTTTTAGATTAGCTCTTTAATTGTGTTGCTGAAATATTTTATAAATATTCAGTATTTTTCTTTTCTCTGCCTGATATATTAGATCCTGAGAAAGGTAAATGAAAATCTCCAACATGATCGTAGATTTGCCAATTCCTTTTTGTAATTTTATCATTTTTACTTTATGTATTTTGAGACTATATTGTTAAGTACATAAAAGTTAATGACTATTTTGTTTTCTTATTGAATTGTTCTTTTTATCTTATGTATCTATGTTTCTATTAATGCCTCTTGGCTTAAAACTCTATGTTGTTTGATTTAAATATTACAGTACCAGCTGTCTTGATCAGTATTTACCTGGTCGATGTTTGTCCATCCCTTCTTGATCATTATGTTTGGGGTGCATCTCTGCTTTTTTTGTTTGTTTGTTTTGTTTTTTTAGAGACAGACTCTTACTCTACACCCAAGCTGGAGTACAGTGGTGCAATAATCATAGCTCACTGCAGCCTTGAACTCAAACTCTTGGGCTCAAGTGATTCTCTTGCCTCAACCTCCTGAGTAGCTGGGAATACAGCTGTAAGCCACCATGCTACTTAAAAAAAAATTTTTTTTATAGAGTTGGGTTGTCATATGTTGTCCAGGCTGGCCTTGAACTCCTGGCCTCAAACAATCCTCCTGCTTCATCATCCCAAAGTGCTGGGATTATAGGCATGAGCCACCGTACCCAGCCTGTGTGTATCTCTTAACATAAGAAAATAGCTGGATGCTATTCTCTTTTTAAAAAATCCAATTTGGGCGAATTCAACCTTTTGTATTTATTATGATTATTAATATATTAATGCTTATTTGTCCTATCCATTTTATGTTTCTTTCTCTTTCCTTGGTTCCTATTGAATTGAGCAAATTTTATTCTCTCTACTTCCTCTCAAATCATTTGTAATTATACATTTGGTTTTTGCTCCTTATAGTGGTTAGCTTTTAAGTTTCTTTTTTAATTTTTTGAAACACGGTCTCACTCTGTTACCCAGGCTGGAGTGCAGTGGTGCAATCATGGCTCACTGTAATCTTAAACTCCTGGCCTCAAGTGGTTTCCTCTCTTGGCCTCCCAAAGTGCTAGGGTTACAGGCCTGAGCCACTGCAATTGGTCTAGCCTTTAAGTTTCTAACATGCATATCCAACTTAACAAAATATAAAACTAACCAAGTTCTCTATCTTCTTCCTGAGCAAATGTCAGGACTTAGAATGATTATTCCATCCAAACTTTATTTAGATTTACAAACATGCTTACTAGCTTCTTTTTCTCATCATTATTTCTTGTGTCTACTCTTTTCTTCTAAGATTACCTCTATTCTTGCTGAATAATGTTATTTCTTTTTTTATTATTTTAATTTTTTTTTTTTAGTTAATCTTCTGTGACTAGTAAATTCTTTGTCTTTATATCTAGTTACTTTCACTTGACATAATTCAACTGGTGGGTAGTTACTTCCCTTTACCACTTTGAAAATATTACTTCATTGCATTCTAGCATCTGTTGCTGCCAATAGGACCTCTTCTGTCAGTGTATGCTATCCTTCTATACACATGGAATGACATTTTAAACTCCTTTGTTTGTGATAGCTCCAAAGCCCCCGCCCTACTAGGTTTCATATCCATTAAGGATACAAACCATGAGCTGCTTTGGCTTAAGATTCTATTTACTTCTCTGATTTTTGTTGCTCAAGGATTTCACTCTGGATTTGGCCATGTAGCTAAATTTTGTTATTGTTGGAGTTTAATTTTTCCACAAAGAAGGGTTCTTTACTGTCAATTCAGTCCTCCATATTGACTAGACATTCTTACTTATCTAATTACTGCTACATTCCATAGCCTCTGGAGGTGAGGTACTCCAGAGTGTAAAGACCAACAAAGATGCCCACCTGACACAATGGGCTTTGACCTATTGCCTGGAAGTTAGAGTCATGGAAATTAATTATGAGTCGAAGGCTCAGGGCACATATACTTGCTGAGAGCACTCTTGATGCCCCCCTGATGTTCTAGTTGAGGGGAAAGGAAAGGATCACAGGTCCTTTCACCTTGGCAGGCTGCTCTTTTAGACAGATTTCTATTTTGAATACTCCCTGCCTGGCATTTCTACCACAGATTCTACATCTGGTTCCTGAGACATGCCTCTTTGCCCCAGTGTGGGAGTGAATTGCATTTACACCCCAGCTGCAGCCCTCTCTGTGCTGCCATCGACTGCTTGTAATTTATCAGTTGAGTCTAGTTCCTGTTGACCAAACCTTACAAATTCAGGGGACACACACTTCTGAGAGAAGTGGCACCAACTCCTTCTACTGGAGAAGGAGAGGATAATGGGAATTTGTAGCTTGCTCCAGAAAATCTTTTCACAAAATTCCCTCTCTCTCTGCCCTTTGACCTTTCCTAATCTTCCTACAGGTAACGATTTAAACTTGCTTCAGCACCTGCTCTGACATACTCACGTGATTTCATTACCCCATTCTCTTTATTCTCACCTCTCTTTACTTACACTAAACAATACCCTGGTATTTAATTTTAAGGTTCTGATATCTTTCGCATTTTAGTGCATATTTATTCTAGTAACAGTAACTTGTGAGTTATTAAAAATATCTAAAATTTACCATCATTCTTCTTGAGATTCTCCTTTAGTATTTGTTATTACGGAATATTTTTTCTTAAAAGTGGAAGTGCCTATGAGCTATGGCCACCTATGTAGGACATGATTTTTTAAGAAATTGAATGGAGGTTCTTATGGGAACAAAAATCACTTTTGTGGTGGCCATAAGTGTTAATCCCAACTTTGAAAGATTAGTTTTTACATGGTAGGCATTATATAAATATTGCTGAATAAGGGAGTGAGAAAGAAACAGTCTGAAATTTGTAACACCTGTCCTTGAATTGAAGAAGTATTGGAAAGCATCGGAGGAACTGTTACCTTTCAAATTTCAAAGAGGAACAAAACTTTTTTAGAGGGCCTTTTCTGAGCTCCAAGCACATTCTCTTTGGTGTACCTAAAACATTTTATTTATAGATAGTGGTGGTTTGTCTGCTATAATGCTTCCTGAGTTTGTAATATCTTACTTTAAATGCTTTTCAAAGATGCTTACATCAGTGCGGTAGGGACTGGATGAAATTTAAGGTCTCTTCTAACCTAGAGATTCTGTACTTTTTTCAGAACTCTGGCATCATCCATTCTCTTCACACTAGTGGTCCAGCAGATGCAAGTTACATAGTACAGAGCTTGGGTCACCTGTGGTGCAATTACTTTCCCAAAGGCCTTCACTGGCAGTGGTACACTGCCATATGACTAAGTACAGCATGCAGGTGTCACAGATAAAATCTTTCTGAAACTTTCATGGGCTCAAAATCCAACAACCTGCTTTGGGAACACTATGTACTTCATAAGAAAATTTAGACATTGGTCCACATGTGTCTTAAGAACTGTGAATTATTTAGAATGAAATGGTATATATAGAAGAACATCTTGTTTCTTCTTAGCATTAAGTACAGTGTTGAACAGGTATCAGGTGTAGGCTTTTACATTTTAAAACTTATTCTCCCAAGAGTTTACATTTTTCAGTCAAGTTTGCTACAGTTTTCCATCTGTTTGTGTATGGGAAAAATATGACATTAATGGGAATTTTGAGTTATATTTGTTATCTTATCAATGACCATGGAACAAATTGCTTGAGTTCTGGGACTCACTGTCTCTATAAAGAAGCATACTTTCTGTGAAGGCCCGTGGCGGGTGTTGACGCGATGTGATTTCTGCACAGTGCTCTGAATGTCAAAGTGAAGAAATTCAATGAAGTGTGGGTAAACAGCGGGAGTAACTATGACTCTCTTAAGGTAGCCAAATGCCTCGTCACCTAATTAGTGATGCGCATGAATGGATGAATGAGATTCCCACTGTCCCTACCTACTATCCAGTGAAGCCACAGCCAAGGGAATGGGCTTGGTAGAATAAGCAGGGAAAGAAGAGCCTGTTGAGCTTGACTCTAGTCTGGCATGGTGAAGAGACATGAGAGGTGTAGAATAAGTGGGAGGCCCCTGGCAGCCCCCACACCAGTCCCTGCGAGGGGGCAGAGTGGGGTCCACCAGTCTTGCACAGCCCTTTATTGCTTAAAACTCTGAATAAGCCAGGTATTGACGGAACGTATCTAAAAATGATAAAAGCTATTTATGACAAACCCACAGCCAATATCATACTGAATGGGCAAGAATGGGAAACATTCCCTTTGAAATCTGGCACTAGACAAGGATGCCCTCTCTCACCACTCCTATTCAATATAGTACTAGAAGTTCTAGCCAGAAAAATCAGGTAAGAAAAAGAAATAAAGTGTATTCAATTAGGAAAGGAGGAAGTCAGATTGTCTTTATTTGTAGACGACGTGATTGTATATTTAGAAGACCCCATCGTCTCAGCCCAAAATCTCCTGAAACTGATAAGCAAGTTCAGCAAAGTCTCAGGATACAAAATCAATGTGCGGAAATCACAAGCATTTCTATACACCAATAACAGACTAACAGAGAGCCAAATCAAGAATGAACTGCCATTCACAGTTGCTACAAAGAGAATAAAATACCTAGGAATACAACTAACAAAGAATGTAAAGGACCTCTTCAAGGAGAACTACAAACCACTGCTCAACAAAAATAAGAGAGGACACAAACAGATGGAGAAACATTCCATGCTCATGGTTAGGAAGAATAAATATTGCGAAAATGGCCACACTGCCCAAAGTAATTTATAGATTCAATGCTAT